ACTGGTGGGTACCATCACCCCTATGACATCGTTGTGAGGCCTGTGCACACGGAACGCCAGACGCCAGGGGATGTGAGACACACACAAACTGCTCAGCTCCTCCAGCACACGGTACACTTGTCCGCTGGGCCAGTTTGACTCTTTGTTGCCAGCAGCAAGGTTTCTAAGTTAATTCTTTCATGTTTGTGACTTTTTTTTTTTTTTCAATAATGATTATTTAGACTACTGAATAAAATGTTAGAGACAAGATGTCCATTCATTATTGTTGTTGTTAGCTGGCATCAATTCCACGTTTGTGTTTCTTGTACACACATCTTATGTCAGCTCCTGGAGGTCGGGGAACACAGTGACACTGGCTCCCCTTCCCCTCAAACACCCCAGCTCCGACTCTGGCCGTTTCCTGTTTATTTTCACCCCTCTCCCACTTCCTGGTGCAGGACTGGGCAGTGTTTCATTCTGTTGCACACAGGGTCACGATTCGATGGCATCTAACAACAATAACATCCTTACTTCAGAAGCTGTGGACCTCACCATGTCGCCATGTTCCTGCATCCCTGCATGTTCCCCACACTCCTCCACCCTCCCTTTGTGCAGATTCCATTACAATTAATTTAAAATAAAAACCTGAAAAAAAAAGAAGAGGTCAGGGACTTGGTTTTGATTTTGCTCTGCCCTCAGACCTGTTCATTCTTCCACATGTTGTCATCCTCTGGCATCTGCCGGCCCCATGTCCTCTTAGGTCTGGGCCCTCAGTGCATATGTGGGTCTGTCACCCACCCAGTAGGCCCTCAGCCACGTGGCACTGATGACCACCTGCTGCTGGTTGCAGTCCCAGAGGCAGCTGTCCACCTACGATGCTGGTGGAAGAAGAGAGTGGATGTGCAAGTGAAGAGCCAACCCCTACAAAGACAGATCCGCCCTCTGCCCTCAGATACAGGAATGTCCAGCCTGATAGGAGTGGCTCTGATTCCCCGGGGATGTTGGCCACCAGACAGGCTAACAATGATGTGTATGATGGGGGCTTTGGGCTACACAGTATCCATTCCACCTCCAGACAGAACAGGGAATAATGGGACCAGGCTGGCCTCTGGAAGGGCTGGAGACTAACAGTCAGCCATGTGGGCAGCATGTGACCAAACCCCAGTGAAAATTCTGGTCATCCAAGGCTCAGGAGAACTTCCCTGGTTGGCAACACTCCGTAAGTGCTGTCCCATGTTGTGTCCGAGGAGGTGACCCTGCTGTGACTCCACAGGGATAGGTCTACAGAAGATGAGTTTGGCCTTCCCCCTGCACTCTGTCCTATATGCTTTCTCCCAGGTGCATCCCTTCATTGTAATAAACCTTAACAGTGAGTAGAACAGCCTCCGGTGAGTTCTGTGAATGCTTCCAAGGAATTACCACAGCTGAGGGTGGTTTTGAGAATTCCTTGGATTTGCAATTGGTGCCAGAGGTGAGGTGGCACTCTTGTGTGGCCTGTACTCCCTCCAACTGGACAGCTGGCTAAACTCTTGTGGTGGGTGTCCCATGCAGAGCCCCGTCTCCTTGTCTTGTGTGGGAATCATGTATAGAATCAGCCGGACATTGTTGTAACCTGGGTTCAGTGCGGCTGGCAAAGGGAGGAGGACTCTGGTACAAGGCTCGCTCACAAGAGCAAGCCAGAGCCCAGTGAGTGACTGCTGGGCCTTTTCCACCAAGTACGGCTTTCTTCCTCATCTTTGGTTCTGGGGGTTTCATGGACAGTGCCAGAGGCCTGAGATTGAGCCTCTGTGAGCAGAGGGGAAAGGATGCTAACCCCAGCCTTGTCCAAAGAGGCAGGTTCTGGTGCTTCTGCAGCTCGTGGGGCTGCCTGCCTGCCTGGAGACCTGTTCATTCTCCCATACACAGTGTCATCCTCTGGCATCTGCTGGCCCCATGTCCTTTCAGGCCTGGGCCCTCAGTGCTCCGTCTATGCATATCCCAGTCCCTGCCTCCTGTGTGTCCCCATCTGTCCATCAATCTCAGCTTTGACTGCATTCCACCTATGTGGTGCTGGGCCTGGATCCAGCCTTCCATCCTCTCCGGCCAAGCCGAACACAAAATTCAGGCACATTTGTGGTGCCTTCCCCTGATCCCCTTGGCTGAGTCAGCCTGGGCTCCCCTGGGGCTGCTTTGTGGATTCCTCACTGGCTGTCCCCCTGCCCTTGGTGTGAGTGGCAGGGTTCTGTGTCAGAGCTGCCTACCTGCCCAGCTCTAAGATAGTAGCACCTGTTCCTGGTGCAATCTCAGGGATCATCAGTGGACTGCAGGTGTGTGGGGTCGAGTGCCACACCTCCTGGTGGCCCCCAGTACATAGCGAAGGCCAGAGGCAAAGGACTAGAGAAACAGGGCAAGTGGCCAGCCCTCTCAGGAGACCCTCTGTAGTCAGGTGGGCTCTGGGCTTTGTTTGGGCTTAGGGCTGAGGAAGGGGAGTGATACAGGAGGTGAGAGAGCATTGGGTGGCCCTGTGGAAGTATCCTTTATGTGACGGCGCCCGTCAGACAATGTGCCCCCAGCCCCCTCCTGCCCTGGTCCCGTTCCTACCCTCACTCGGGCTGCACCAGTGTCCCAGGTGAGGGTGAGAGTGGTGGCGGTGAGCTCCACTGCATGTCGGGCCGCCTCAAGGCCTGCAGCAGTGCCTGCAGCTCCGTCTGCACCTGGCACAGTTTCCGTCCATCCACGGGCCCACGGGAGAGGCCGTGCAGGTAGGGGCAGCACTCCACGGGGACGGGGTACAGCACCTGCTTCAGCGCCACCAGCGTGGCCGTGTGCTCCAGCAGGTCCACGAGGCCAGCCTGAGAGAAGGGGTTGTCAGAGAGGTCCAGGGAGCTGAGGTGGGCACAGCGGCACAGGGTGGGCAAGAGAGCGTGGAGGTGGGTGTCCTTCAGCCAGCAGTGGGTCAGGTTGAGGTGCTGCAGTGTCCCGGCCACTGCCCGCAGCAGGGCCTCTAAGGGCCCCGGAACCATGTAGGACAGGTTGTTACCACTCAGGTCCAGCTTCTTCAGGCGCGTGGTATGAACGCTCTGGGCCAGGAAGGTGACATCGGATTCGACGAGTGTGCAGGAGCAGATCTCCAGGGTGTGCAGGGGGTTCTGTAGGCAGCTGAGGAGAGAGGGGCTCTCAGGGGACGGCCTCTGACTCCACCCTGGGCACCTGCTTGCCCACGTGGGACCCTTGTCCTACAGTAGCTCCTCAGCTGGAGCCCACCTCAGGGTTTGGGAGCCTGTCCCTGCCTCCACCGAGGCCCTGCCACTCTAAGGCTCTCTTTGGGGAATAGAGACCCATGTTATATGCACCCATGTCCCCAGTATGACTGGCGAGAGGACACGTCTGGGAAGATACAATTTGACGATAAGCCTTGCAAGGATGGTCACTCACAGTCCCTGAAGCTCTCAAGTAGCCCAGCTCATCAGAAGCCCTGGGCCTGGAACATTCCATGATAATGATGTCTGGAAGCATAGCCTTACTCTGTCCCATTTCCTTCTTCCTCATCAGAGAGACGGCTTCCCCGTGACAGACCCAATGGGGACCTCCCTCTTTGTTCTGTTCATGTGTGTGTATGTCCCGTGGCACCTGCCCACCCCCACTGTGCTACCTGTCCTGGTGAGGAGGGAACAGTGCCCTCACCTGCCACATAAGTGGGGTGTGTGCAGAACCCAAGCCCTGTGGTGGCCACAGGGAGCCACTTGCTGACCGTGGAGGACCAATGTGCACAAGTGAAGCTGGCCTTCTCCTGTCTTTTCTCTACATGAGTAAAGAGTTGCCCCATCCACTGCCTGTGAGTGAGTCATATGTTTTCTTGGTGATCCCCGGTCTTGGCTGGACAACAGAGGTGCAGGATGTGCCTAAAGGAGCCCAAGGCATTTGACTGCTAACCAGAAGGTTGGTGGTTCAAACCCATCAGCTGCTCTGTGGAAGGAAAATGAGACAAGGTACTTCCGTAAAGATTCACCACTTTGGAAACTCAATAGGGGTTGCTATGAATTGGAATTGACTCCATGGCAGTGGATGTGGTTGGGGATTTGCTTCCCTGAAGCTTAACAGCCTTGGAGACCCTGTGGGGCAGTTCCACTCTGTCCTCTAGGGGTGCAGTGGGTCGGAATCGACTCTTCAGCAGTGGGTGGGGTTGGAGCTTTGCTTCTGTGAAGATTGACAGCCTTGGAGACCCTCTGGTGCAGTTCCACTCTGTCCTCTAGGGGCGCTGTGGGTCAGAATCGACTCCACGGCAGTGGGTGTGGTTGGGGCTTTGCTTCTGTGAAGACTGACAGCCTTGGAGACCCTGTGGGGCAGCCCCAGTCTGTCCTCTAGGGGCGCTGTGGGTCAGAATCAACACCATAGGAGTGGATTTGTTTTGGGCTTTGGTTCTGTGAAGATTGACAGACCTGGAAACCCTGTGGGGCAGTTTGATTCTGTCCTCTAGTGATTCTGTGAATAAGAATTGACTCTACAGCAGAGAGTTTGTTTGTTCATTTTTTGAGGTAGTACCTATTAACAGTAGGGTTTGGTTTGGGGAGCTATCAATCAGACCATGATGAACAGAATGCCACCCACTGGGGAATCCCTAGCAGGTGGACCCCAAAAACCAAACCCCCGCTTCCATCGAGTTAATTCCAACTCACAGCAACACCCGTTGGGTTTCTGAGGCAGTAAACCTTTATGGAAGTTGATTGCCCTGTCTTCCTCTTGTAGAGTGGCTGGTGGGTTTGAACTGCCAACCGTGTGGTTGGCAGTCAAATACCTTAGGGAAACACTTCGTCCCACATCTGTCATGCCAGAGGCCTCACTCTCTCTGCAAGGCTGTCATGTTGTGGTTCCTCAGGTCAGCACAGTGCTGGCTCTCTGCAGTGTCTCCAAAGATCTGTTGAGAAAATTAACAAACGCTACTCCTTTCCCAACAGATCTCTGTCTTCCAAAGAGGATCCCAGCTTCCAGGAGCAATCTGATGCCAGGCTCCTGTCTACACCCATGGCTCCAGGAGGGGTAAGCAAGGGGACCACTTTCTTTCTTGCCCCCAGCCCGGACTTGACGTTGGCATGGTCCAGGGATTCCCTGGGGGACCTGCCCGGCCGTTCACCTGAGCACCTGATGCAGGTTGCCTGACAGGTAGGAATAGGACAGGTGAAGCCTTTGGAGGTGGTGCAGCTGGCCGAGCTGGGAGAGGATGTGGTCGGAGGACAGACCCCCCTCCAGGGGGAAGGCCCAGTGGTAGTAGGCCAGCTTGAGGCTACGTAGGTTTCGGATCCTCCCCAGCTGGGAGGCGAACAGGCTGTGCTCCGCCAGTGCCTGGAACCAGTCAAACACCTCCAGCTCCTGGATGGAATCCAGCTCCAGTATCTGCAGGGTCCCCCCGTGGCTGTCGGATGGCATTTCCTCAATGTGCAGTTTCTTACAGCAGACTCGCAGGGACCCCTGGCTCTGCTCCACTTTTGCCAGGAGTGTGGACAGGAAAGCATCTGATTGGAAGGGGCCTCGGAGGAAAAGGTCCACATGCAACTCCACCGGCTCCCAGGACCCCAGAGGCTCTTCCGTGCTGTCTTCCACTGGCCTGGGCCTGGCCACATCCTGTGGCGTCTCAGCCTTGACCGTGCACGGGAACCAAAACGGGAATCTGCTCAAGGCCTCCGAGGGCTCTCTGCCCTGTACCTGCTCAAAGGCCAATGTCAAGTCCAGTACCCTCAGCGAGGACCTCCTGTGGAGAGTAAGGGGGTGATGAGGTGATGACACCTAGGGGAAGCCCCCAAGGCCAGGATGAACCCCTGGAGCAGGATGCTGGCCCTTGGCTCTCAGGGGCCAGCATCAGCCCACCTCTTCTCCTCCTCTCTCCAAGGGGCTTCTCTCTCTCTTCCTCACCTGGGACCCTGTCAGGCCTCCATTCTTCATACCACCTGTACCTCTATCCCCAGAAGACTAAACCCCTACCCCTTAACCCTCATCAACTCCATCGGCAACCACTGGACCAGAAGCCTGTGAAAACCCAAACTGAACCCGTAGTCTTTGGGTCGATTCTGACCCATGGTGATCCCATGTGTCGCAGAGTAGAACTGGTCCACAGGGTTTTCTTGGCTGTAACCTTTATGGAAGCAGGTTGCCAGGCTTTTCTTGTGCAGCACTGCTCAGTGGGTTCCAACCACCAACCTTCAGGTTAGTTGTTGTTGTTATGCGCCGTTGAGTTGGACCCGACTCATAGCGACCCCTCCTTGGGTTTCTGAGGCAGTATCACTATGGATGTAGATTGCCCCACCTTTCTTCCGAGGAGTGGCTGGTGGGTTTAAACCACCAGCCTTCTGGTCAGCAGTCAAGTGTCTTAGGCACTACGCTACCACAGCTCCCGTTCAGGTTAGTAGTCAAGTGTCAATGATTGACACCACACTTTCCCCATCTGTGTCCCTGCACCTCCCTGGTCCCAGCCCAGTCTCCCTCTGGTTCTCTGAGCCCATGCCTTGGTCCCAGTGCCCGCTTTACCTGGGACAAGCCTTGTGGCTGGAGAGGTCCCCCAGGCCATCCAACACAGCCTGCAAGCTGTCTTGGCTGGGCCACTGTGCTATCAGAGAGCCTAGCCGGAGGACAGGGAAGGGCCAGGCTTGCACCAGCGCCTTCAGAGCCTCCTTGTGGCCCATGGAGAAGGCGGCGGTGAGCAGCGCTGGGAAGAGATCGACTGTGAACTCTTGCAAGGCAGCTGGAGCGGAAGGCTCACTGCTCAGCAGGCGGTGGGCTGCCAGGTCCAGCAGCATGGGCGGGGCAGGAGAGCTCATCTTCGTGAACCTGGGGTGGAATGAGGTGGACCTCGTCAGACCTCCTCTCGCTCAGCAGCCTCCCAGGCCAGTCCGGGGCACCCAAGCCCTTACTATCCATCACAGGAGTGAGGGGACCGAGGGGCGGGCTCCAGCCTCCACCTGTGACTAGAACCCACGAGTAGGTCTTGTTGCAAGCATGAGGCTACATACCAGGTCCCATGCCCTAGTGAGGAGGCCCAGTGCCTCAGTAGATCTGTCTCTGTCAAGCTCAGGAGCCTTTGGCTTGGTTCTGATTCCCCTCCTTTGCCATCACGATTGCCGTGGCATCAACTAAGGACATTGCCCCAAACACCACATCAATCCTGCTCATCTGGTCTCCCAAACTCACCTAGATCCTGACCACATCTCATCGCTCCCACCTTTAGAAAGCTGCCTGCATCTCTCTCCAATGATGGAAGTAGCCTTGAATGTGTCTCCCTGCTTCTGCCCTCGCGTCCCTTAGGACCTAGGCCAGATCATGTCACTCCTCGGCTCAAAACTCTTCCTCTGAATACAATGCCCCTTTGGTGGGTTTCCTCTCCAGGCCTGCCTCCTGCCACCCTTCCTTGTATTTACTGGGTAACTGCCACTCACATAGGCCTCTGTCAAATCCAAAACCAAACCCACTGTCATCAAGTTGATTCTAACTCACAGCCACCCCCACTGGGTTTCTGAGACGATAAATCTTTACAGAAGTAGATTGCCCAGTCTTCCTTCCATGGAGTAGCTGGTGGGTTTGAACTGCCAACCTTATGGTTAGCAGCCAAATGCCTTAGGCACTACCCTCTGTACAGTTCCTCAAACCCGGGCACCCACTGCCTCAGGGCCTTTGCACTGGCTGCTCTGTCAGGGTTGGTATCCTCCCAGAGAGAAAAGTGCTGTTTCTCTCACTTCAGTCCGATCTCTGTTCAAATTTCATCTCACCTGACAGGCCCTTCCTGACCACCCATCTCTACCTAGGCTGATGCCCTCTTCAACACTTTCACTATGACCTCTCTCTCTCATGTGTGCGCACACAAGTTTATCATCTAAACCATAAACTAAATGGTAGTCTCCATGATGAAGAGCTGTGTCTGCTTTTATCACTGCTGTCACCTGAGTGACAAACATACTACCTGACATAGAAAACCCACCCCAACCCACTGCCACTGAGTTGATTTCAACTAGTAACCACTCCCATTGGGTTTCTAAGGCTGTACATATTTACAGAAGTATATGCCTCATCTTCCTCTCACAAAACAGGGGTTGGTTTGAACCGCTGACCTTCTGGTTAGCAGCCAAATGCCTTACCTGCTGTGCTACCAGAGCTCCTTACCTGACATATTGTTGTTGTAACGTGCCGTTGAGTCGGACCCGACTCATAGCGACCCCTCCTTGGGTTTCCAAGGCAGTATCACTACGGAAGTAGATTGCCCCATCTTCCTTCCGAGGAGTGGCTGGTGGGTTTGAACCTCCAGCCTTCTGGTTAGCAGTCAAGTGCCTTAGGCACTACACTCTATATTACTAAATCCATGGCAAGGAGCAGGATGGCCCAATGGAAGTTCAGCAGAGTCCCAGTGACCAGAGCCCAGAGCCATAGGGAACACGGTTTTCCCTAACTACTCTACAAAGCTTCAATGGTAGGTTAGTTCCAGATCCTACCAACTGACCAGAGATGGAGGGGAATCTGGTTGCACCCCACGGCCTCCACCATCCACCCTGCACTGAACACCTCCATATGCAAGGAGGGGATGCTTCAGAGATGCACGCCCACTGAAGGAGCCATGAGCCATGGGCCACGGTTGGTTACTGAGCACTTCAAATATGGCTGTTAATGCAGTGGAGAGATGGACTGGGTGACTGTATTTCGTTTCAATGAATTTGAACTTAAATGACAACATGGCAAGATGCTTCCATCTTGGCCAACACTGTTCTAGAGCCCATGGAAGCCAGATATAAGAGATGTTTGGTCACAGTCTCACCATGCTGTGCAGTCCAGTCCTATCAGGCAACTGGACAAGGGGGATAGAAGAAACGAGAATTGTGGAACTACTAAGTTATTTAAAATTTCAAATTATTCGACTTTTGAGATGATAGCCCTTTGACATACTTTAAGCCTGGAACTGAACTCACCCTCATGGCTCAACTTTCAGCCAAACAACAGACAGGCCTGTAAGGTGAACAGCACCAGCAGGAAACTGTGCACTCCTTAGAAGAGCCAACCCTATGAGATCAAAAGGGCAGTGTTTGCCCAGAGATAAAGCTCACAAGCCAGGAAGAGACAGGAAGGAAGTGTAAGAGAAATGGGAAACATAGGGAGGAAGTGAGAAGAGAGCTGTTACATGGTGTGGGTGGCAATGAATGTCACAAAGCAAAATCAGTATGAACTGTTGAATGGAAAACCAATTTACTCCATAAACTTTCACCCAAATAGCAATATAGATAAACAAAAGATTACAGCTAAGAAAACCCTATGGGTTAGTCCTACTTTGTCACATGGGGTCGCTACAAGTCGGAATTGACTCAACGGCACCCAACAGCAACAAGAAGCTGAGTTAGAAGAAGTGATTTTTGGTTCCACATAATCATTCATTGAAAAGAAAGGGTGAGTGGCAGGGAAAGGCTGGCAGTGGACTAAGGTGTGAGAATCCTTTTAACAACTAATGATTAAACTCCTATCATGTACAGAATCCTGTTATGTGTGGGACAAGGAGCGTTCTGGTGCCTCAGTACTCTGTTGTAATTAAAAAACAAGCAAACACAGCCAAGATTTTGATAGTTTTTCTGGCCAAAAGAAAATGCCCATGGTAAACGCCAGTTCCAAAGGGCTGGTGTGTGTGTGTGTGTGTAAGAGAGAAAGAAACAGAACCTCTCTCAAGTCAGTAGCTTACCGTAGCTACAGCCCACCACACCGTGCTCCCAGCCTTTGGTACTCATACGAAGTGGTGGGAGTGCAGCCCAGCAGAATCTAAGCCAGGCTGGGCAAGTCCAGAACACTTCGCAGGTGACTGAAAACCTGAGATCTAAACAATGGTGAGAAAAAGCCTGCAGAGAGTGGGAACAAGGCTGTGGGGCTCTCCCAAGGACAATGAAGGCCCAGGAACAAGGCCGAGTTTCTTGGGAAGGAAGACACAGTTTAGCATTGAAATGCGGCTCTATTACTAACTGGAGGAACAGTGAACTTCTTGCTTAAACCAAGCTCAGTTTCCTCCTCCATAAAATGGGAATATGAATAGCATCCACCTCAGGGCAGTGATTGCAGAGCCTTGCCTTTGTGTTAAAACCTCGGGGTGTCACAACTGTGGTTTCCAGCCAAACAAAGTACAGGCATGTAAGTTAAACATTTACCTCAAGTAGACATGCGCCCTGGAGAGAACAATCATGGGAGAAGGAAGGGCTTCTTATGCACAGGGAGACAGCTCAGGGTGCAGAAGAGTATGAAGGGATGGACACTGGGAGGAGGTAACTATGGGGAGGAAGTGGGAGGGGAGCTGCTGCATTGTAAATTTTGGTCAATGACATGAGACAAAGTATATGTGAACTGCTGTATGAAAAGTGAATTTACTCTGTAAATCTTCACCCAAATCCTAATAAAAAAAAATAAATTAATTAAAATTGGAAAAAAAAAAAACCTCGGGGTGTGAACGCCTGGATTTCCAATGACTTTCAGCAGGTCACTATGGCCACTGACCTCTGACACCGGCTTCCCCAAAACGATTCTACACAAGAAGCCTACCATAAGCTGTTTACCCCTGGGGACAGTGAAAGAAAGCAGTAAGTTATCAGGAAGGAAATTGCGAAGCATTGAAGGGGGGAACCATTCTCTAAGCCAATGAGGGAAGAGGGGCTTGTTAGGGGGGGACCCATCTAAACAGACCTGGGGTTCCGGAAAAGGATGATTGAGACACCCTGAAACAACTGCAGGAAGATTACATGGACACACAGTTCATTAAATCTCCACGAAAAGCCTCACTCAGGGGCTGGTTGGATTTGCTTCCAGCCACAGCTGCGCACAGAAGGTTACGGAGGGACCCTCCGGGAACTCAGCAGGATGAGTCCAAAATGGCGGACGTCCGTTACCCACAGTGCCCCGGGCACATCCTGCAGAACCGGAAGTCCATCCCCTGCCTGTCTCTGAGGGCTGTGAACATGCGTTGTTAGTTTCTAGGGCTTGAACGAAGCCGAGCTGGGGGGAAGGATGTGTGTCCAGGTACTGCGCCCTCTACGGGATGACCTCTGCAGGCCGGGCAGGGTTGACCCTGAATGGCTGAGAAGGCAGGAAACCAGGGAGTGAAGCTAGGGGGCTGTGAAGTGAAAGGAGCTCCATCATAGTCCTAGGATTGGAGGTAGAGAATTTGCACAAAGCCTGGTACTAACTAGAGTCTTGGTTATAGCGAAGTGTGTAAAGAAAACCCAAAGGACTTTCTGGGAATCTGCTAAAGTGAGCTGAGGCATCTCTATCATGGCTTGTTTTCAGCCTTTCCCCACGAGGTTTTCTGACTACTTAGGGATGTTCCAGGGAGCTCTGGTGGCATAGTGCTTAAACCATTCAGCTGTTGTTGTTGGCAGCTGGATTCCACAAGTTGCTCAGCGGGAGAAAGATGAGGAGGCAGTCTGCTTCTGTGAAGACTGACAGCCTTGGAAACCCGGGACCAGTTCCACTCTGTCCTCTAGGGGCGCTGTGGGTCAGAATGGACTCCATGGCAGTGGGTGTGGTTTGGGCTTTGCTTCTGTGAAGACTGACAGCCTTGGAGACCCTGTGGGGCAGTTCCACTCTGTCCTCTAGGG